TCCTATCTCTACCTCTGTATGTTCATAGTACTATAGATAAGCCTCCTCAGGGGGAGTTTAACCTAAAATAAGATGTGCCTTTCCCTACATATGACCTATTATGCTTTGTTTGGTAATTTAGAGCAAACCTCATACTTATTCAAACGATCATGACCAGACAATCCTGCCTTATTTCATGACGAGACAATCCTGCCTTATTTCATAAAGCCTTTTCAGACCCTCAGTAAGACAAATAAATTGTGAAATTTTGAGGAGTCAGTGAAGCTTTTTCCTCTTGCAGAGTGGCAGGAGTAAAGTTATGAAGAAGGTGGACAGAAAAGTCAAGAAAAAAAGTACAATATAGCAAATCTTTACTACAACTTTAGAAAGAGAAAAAATGTATCAGAGCAAGATACATTGGAGGCATTTCCTCTTTTATTGCCCTTCATAAAATTACTTGATTTTTATTGGGGGAGGGAGGAAATGGCCAGATGCTTTCTAAAAATATAAACTGTCATGTTTTATAGGGCCATAAAAAATGAAATGCCCCTTCATGGTAAGTCCTGTTCTGTTAAATTTGAGAAGTCACAGATCTTGTGATTTTCCAAAATTGTGGAGAAGGAGCATTTTGTGCTAAATGCTTCTGTTATTATGTGGACTTAGGAAACACTGACTAATCTTGAGGTATTTCTGTTGCTGTCTTCCTGGGAGACAAGCCAGGGAATTGAACTCTCCTTGCCTCAGGCTGCCTATTGGCTCTGTGTGAAGATGACATCACCTACCTCTCAGTATGTTTTGAAGTTTATTGTTTAGTAAGCACTAGGATTCCTTATAAAAAACAGGCTGTTTATATAGCATTAGCATCTTAAGATAGTCTAGTACTCTTAAGTCATTTAAATCTTTAAAACACTCTTCATTTTTTTTTTTTTTTTTTTTTTTCAGTAGAGTCTCACTCTACTGCAGGATGGAGGACAGTGGTGCAATCTCAGTTCACTCCACCTCCCGGGTTCAAGTAATTCTTGTGCCTCAGTCTCCTGAATAGCTGGGATTACAGGTACACACCACCATGCTTGGCTAATTTTTATATTTTTAATAGAGAGGGGATTTCACCATGTTGGCCAGGCTGGTCTTGAATTCCTGACCTCAAGTGATCCACTCACCTTGGCCTCCCAAAGTGCTGGCATTACAGGTGTGAGCCAAGCCCCCAGCCTCGTTCTTAAAGTTTTCAAGTACTAGTCTTTAAAAAATATTTTTCATCAGAATGTTATTTTATTTAGAAATTACCAGGATAAAAAGTGTTTGAAAGGTGTGCTACATGATACCAATTGACCAGGGAGTTCACATTTCAGCTGATAGTTTTAATATTGTATAGAAAGAGCCAAAGTCATTTTAAAAAAAGTTTTACTTAAAATATGCCTTATTGTAATGAGGGCTTCAGTTTAACAAAGGTCAGTCTTGGGCCAGTCAAAAGAGGACAAATAATTGGAAGAACTGGATAGACAAACAAGGCAGATTAGACACAGAACCCAGAGTGGTTGTAGACATTCAATCAATATGTTGTCAAGTCATATTACCATTGGCTATGCTTGTGCTTAAAACTGATTTTCAATATACTACAAAGGAAAGAATTAGTTAAAAATAGTATTAAAATACGTTTGGATCCTAAACTTCTTAACTTACATGTGAAATTAATTGCATTTTCAGGAATTTTTTCAAAAGTTTTTAAATGTTACAGTTAAAATGTTGCCCCACTTGGCATGAAATTATTTTGATGTGTATGGAAGCTATCACAGAAAATAAAATGGAAAAATATATAGTAGGTAAGAGTAAATCTTTGTGGTAAAGAGTAATTCAGAACAATTTTTTCTAAGAAAAAAATGAAAAGGCTCCTAAACTTGATTTTTCAAGTTACATTTATTACTACTATAATTTCAATTTTCAGTATGCATCTTTCAAATACAGTCTTTTGTGATAAACAGAAGTGGAAATGTCAATCTATTTAACAGGAGAACACAATTTTTTAAAATAGAAAAGTGTGGACCATGTAGATGTTAGTACTTTGAATAGAAATCAAATGTGAAAATCTATTTTCTCTTAAAAAAATATTTCTGCAATTTATCTCTAATTGTAATAACTGCTCCTCTTTGATATAACTTTTTACCCAAAATTTCAAGTCACTAATGCATGTATATACTTAAGCCCTAATAGGTTAGCTCTTTCCAATGTATATAATGGTGCCAAAATATAAAAGAGACATATTCAGAAATAAATGAACAAGAATCCATGCATTTAAGAAACTCAAAATACAAGACAAATTTTAAATCATCTTAATGTATACTTCAAACACATGCATTGGTATGACATTTAAACTTAAGAAGGAGAAAAAATACCAAATTAGTGTCTCTATGACTGGCATACTCGCCTTTTAGGGAAGGCTTTTTAATCCACAGTATAACTCAAACTCTTTCTACCTATCTGATTGCTACTAACAAACAAATGTTTTATAACAAACGTGGTATGTATTTTCAAAGCAACGGCTCTTCTCTACACATGCTATTATTTAGAAGATAGGACTAACTCACTTTACTTTTGTGAGAACAATAGTCATCTACATCTTCTCACCCATAGGAATCAAACTTCACTGTGGCAGGTGTCCTGTCTCAACCATGAGCTTCAATGTGAGCAACCTAATTTTATTCATTTTCAAGTATACTGGAGAAGAATATCCACAGTACACTTTAGGATGATTTAACAATGGCACTTTGATTTTCAGGTTCGTATCTGTAAAGTATGACTTTTCAAACCACTGATTTCTGCTACAAATATAGAATGTTTTTCTCCTCGTGAGTGAGAAATGTGCAACTTTCCCACCGTGTACTTTTCCTTAATGTCTAGAATAAATTCAGATAGCTTAATACAGATGATAATATTGATCTAGTACATGCAATGAGAGAGAAGTCTGTTTTATACTAATATGTAAGTTTAAAACATCTCTCTATTTTGAGTCTGTTGAAAGTTTTAGTGAATAATATCTATGTCAACTGATGTAAATAACTCCTAGCACTTATAAAATAAAGCAATGAAGTAGAACACAACCCTGGCAAGCAAAGTATTTTCTGCTGAGTCTCTCCTATCTTAAAACATTCAAATCTAAAATGATTAAACCACTATAGTAAATTTTGAACCAAGTAAGGCTTTTGTGTGGGGGATTTCTGAGAATTTGCTAAGTAATCTGTACACCAGGCATTATTTTTTAGGATTCTATAAAAACTCTTGGCAGTCAGTAATTACATCTTACACCTTGATAATTTAACATAATTTAACAATATAACCTTGAAAAGTATTTATCATTTCTTTTCTCCATCACTGAACAATTTTATGTCTGGTTCTATCATCACCAATAGAACTTACTGTGATTTCTTCACTTTTTTTTTTAACCTTCAAGATAAGGCCTCGGTCACTTGCACCCTGGCATTATTTTTAATTTTTATTCTGTGAAATACTATAAGAGACCATCATAGTGGTACATTCAAGAGCTAAAAAGTAACACAAAGCAAAATTATCACCTTTAAAAAGCTAAGGAAATTTTGAATCCTCAAGATGGTTTTTTACTTAAAAATATTCTGGATATTTGCTTAAGTTAAAAAATTTTGTGTGTTTTTTTTTTTTTTTTAATTTATTTAACACTTCGTGGGCATGGCAGTAAGGAGCAGGTGTTTGATCTGATTATTTGATGGGCATGCTAACAAGGCAAGTGTCATGGGATTGATGAAGCAGCTGCTTAACTTCCTCTGAACATCCTAATGACAACTTTCTAAAGAAGCACCACTTGTTACATCAGCTTCTGTGGCATGTTTTCTATAACTGAATAAATGATCATGACCTACAATTGCATAATAACAGACATATTTATATACCACTTCCTTAAATCCATTAATCGTTTTAAATCTTCACATCTACCCTCACTCCATGTAACACGTAACACAAAGCCTGCCGCCTAACAAATCCTTTTAGGACATTTAATGATACATGTAGCGAAACTAATTACCTAATCCACTTCTAAACATAATCTGATATTTATATAATGAGCAATAATAATAAACAATGCATCAGAGGGCATTCTACAAATGAGAGAATCTCAGAATATCAGAGTTGTTAAAGATCTAAAAGATTAGATAATCCAATCTTCTCATTTGACAAATGGGGACACCTGAACCCAGAGTCTATTCCTGACACAGGCATATATCTAAATCTTTCTATTCTCCACACATCACAACATTCTTCAAAAGCCCTTCTAAAATGTATAATAATCTTATTGTTATGTGTTTATTTCTTTCTGAGAACTCCCACATTTTAATTCTTTTTTTAAAATCTAAAATTTATTAGATTTTTTTAAAGAATGTTGCAGAAAGGCCAGGTGTGGTGGCTCATGCCTTTCAACCCAGAACTTTGGGAGGCTGAAGCGGGCAAATCACGAGGCCAGGAATTTGAGACCAGTCTGACTAACATGGTGAAACTTCATCTCTGCTAAAAATACAAAAATTAGCCGGGTGTCGTGGTGCGTGCCGGTAATCCCAGCTACTCAGGAGGCTGAGGCAGGAGAATTGCTTGAACCCAGGAGGCACAGGTTGCAGTGAGCCAAGATCGTACCATTGCACTCCAGCCTGGGCAGGACAGAGCAAAACTCCGTCTAAAAAAAAAAAAAAAAAGTTGCAGAGAAATACTTAACACCAAGGAAAATATTTTTATAAAACAATTGCTCACTGGTGCCAGGCACGGTGGCTCACACCTGTAATCCCAGCACTTTGGGAGGCTGAGGCAGGTGGATCACGAGGTCAGGAGTTCAAGACCAGCCTGGCCAAGATGGTGAAACTCCATCTCTACTAAAAATACGAAAATTTTCGGGGTATGGTGGTGGGCGCGTATAGTCCCAGCTACTCGGGAGGCTGAGGCAAGAGAATGGCATGAACCCGGGAGGCAGAGCTTGCAGTGAGCTGAGATCGCACAACTGCACTCCAGCCTGGGTGACAGAGCAACACTGTCTCAAAAAAATAAAAAATTAAAACATAAAATAATAAATAAATAATTGCTCACTGGCATGCCCCTATGAGAAATTTCTGCAATGTTATATTCCTTGCTGTTATAGGTAGTGATAATTAGCACACCATATTCCATTAATTTCTTCCTGGACTAAGGTGCAATGAAGAAATAGTTAGTTTTACTTTAATTGAGTAGAGTTTAGTTGCATAGAATACCTACAAATGGAATCAAAATTATGAATTACATATAAGTGCTGGTACATCAATGCAGATAGTGAAATTTTCTTCAAAGGAATTCTCTACGCATCAGCCGACAAGGAAGTATTCACACTTACTTGTGTGTGTGTGTATATGTATGTGTATACACACACATAGAAACACAAACTTAGATAAATGACTTATGAGAACAAGCCAAGACCAAAAGTGAAATTAAATCTATTAGAAAAGTTTAAAACCCTACAAAGGAGCATTTTTTAAAAAACCACAGTTGGCACATGATCCATTCGTCTAACTTTCAGGTTTGGCGTCTCCATCCCCTTGGATGTGGGTTGTAGTTGTAATCAGCTGCTGGAAGACAGTAATCAGACCTGGTTTCCATGGACATGATTGTGGAATCATTTCTTGAAGCCTGCCTATAATATGCATATGGCAACTGTGAACCATATTGGGAGTTGGTGGACATATTATTATTGGCTGTGACATTATACTCTTGCCTTCCACATGAGCCCATATAGGCCTTCTGGCTTTGAGGAATATAGGACAATCTTTCATTCCAATCCTCTGGAGGCCCTGGAAGCACCTTCCTCCGAGCTGCTGAGATCACATTTGCCACAATGGATTCCTGGATGTTTCTGGGTCTGAAAGCATCATCCACTAGACCGAGAGGAGATTTTGCTGCTGCTTCCCAAGGAGTTGGTCTCTTGTTTGCTTTCTCTAGTCCATCAGTTGGTTTGCTAGAGTAACTATAAGTAGGCTGGTATACCCAAGGAGATGCAGAAATGGTGGGTGGGACTGATCTTCCGGGAAGAGAAAGGGAGCGCCCACTCTCCTAAAAACAATGAAAATATTAATATATCTAATTCATTTTGGTTTGTGCTGCTTGTTACTCCAAAGTATTCCTAGCATCATTACCAAGCACTGCAAAATAATAATAATAATAATAATAATAATTAACCCCCTAGAATGCTTAGTCTTAAAGCCAGGACAGGCTGCCTGTCCTGCCTGTCCCCACCTTTGCAAAAGTGGGCCAAGGGCAAATGGTGGGCTGTCACTTGACCCCACCTTTTGCACTTGGCCCTCCTAGTTGCTCCCCATCTGTGAACGCATAGCCCCAATTGCTGTCATCTTTCTTAGGCATAGTCACTAGGGGCAGGGCAGGGGCTCTGTCATCACTAGGAACCACCTTTCCTTCTCTCCGCCCTCTACATAGGCATATGTGCACTCGCATCCCAACCTCATTCCTATCCTGCTTTCCTGGTACAAAATAAACAAAACTTATTGATAACCTCGGAAACAAGCTGTAAATTACCGAGTTTTTTACTCTTCCCAAGTGACTTTTAATCCGTTATCTAATTTTGGTCTAGTGAATGAATATAGCAAAAACAAACAAGAGCTCTGTAGATGTAGTTAACATTACTGGTATTAAATGACTGGCCCTTTTCCTCTCAAAATCTATTTATATGGTGAAGATCACATGGATTTTTATTTCCTAAGTGGAGTGTATTGCCTTTGTCTCTGAGGGAATTACTCCTGCCTCTTGTTTAATTTGTATTTTGCTTCCTTTCATGTGTATTACATTCCTAGTTCTTGGAGAGTTTGTATCCCTGCAACATTCCTCTGTGTATACTAAATATTCTGCTTGACTAATAACACAGAGATATTATTGATGATGATGATTATTATTATTTAGAGTGGGGATTTCACTCTGTTGCCCAGGCTGGAGTGCAGGGCATGATCATGGCTCACTGCAGTCTGAAACTCCTGGACTCAAGAAATCCTCCTGCCTCAGCCTCCCAAGTAATTGGGACTACAGGTGCACACCACTATGCTTGGCTAAATTTTTAAAAATCTTTTTTAGAGACAGGATCTCCCTGTTGCCCAGGCTGGTGGTATTAGACTCCTGGCCTCAAGCCATCCTCCCACCTCAGCCTCCCAAGTTGTTGGGCTTACAGACATGAGCCCCGGTTCCCGGCTACAGCAATATAATTTAATGAAAGCTCTTGTGTTCTCATTCTCTCCTTTTACTCCTCTGCATTTCTAGGAATGCTGATGGCTGGCTATCTACATTACATCTTCACACATTCCAACACGCGTGAGACTACCTGAGATAAGCTCTTGGCAAAACCGCAGAAAGGGTACACCTAGGGGACAGGAGTATCAACTTTGAAAGGATCAAAACATCCTGTTTCCTAACAAAAAACATTACTATGCTTAAAAATTGCTCTCATTTTATAAACAGTTTCAACAGCTTTTCTGTTAATCAAGTTCTTAACTTTAAAGTGAATATCAATACCTGGATTTAGGCAAAATATCTCAGATTCAAATGTTTCGCTTTTGTTTTTTTTTATTAGGCACACAAAGAAGGCAGATGGTTCATTCTTGGTTTCTATCTGAAGAATAAGAGGGTCAATAAAATGAATCTTGATTCTCTCTTTTTAATCACTGAAATTTTACTCACAACGGTTGAATCTTAGCAAAAACTTGCTTTCACTAATCCTGTCTTAATTCAGAACCACTCATAATTCTCTTTACTATATATTTGGGTGAGGTGTGGGGAATCCTGACTTTTAGTCACCTTCAAGGTCTTAGTTTCTATTTCACATTATGTATGTGTTCATTTCATAAACTCATTTAACATAAATTAACATATTGCACACCTAATATTTCCAGGTACTCTTTTATAAGCTGAAGACTTAAAGATGATAAAGTCCTTGCCCTCAATAAGCACACAATCCAGTACTAGTTTTAGCCCCACAGTAGCTGAATTAAATCAAATATAGAAGACCAGTTTGGGCCAGTGCAGTGGCTCACGCCTGTAATCCCAACACTTGGGGAAGCTAAGGTAGATGGATCACTTGAGATCAGGAGTTTAAGACCAGTCTAGCCAACATGGTGAAACCCCATCTCTACTAAAAATACAAAAGAATTCTCCAAGGTTTGATGGCATAGGTCTGTAATCCCAGCTACTGGGGAGACTGAGGCACAAGAATCACTTGAGCCCAGGAGGCAGAAGTTGCAGTGAGCCGAGATCAAGCCACCGCACTCCAGCCTGGGTGACAGAGCAAGACTCTGTCTCAAAATAAATAAATAAATAAACAAACAAACAAACAAATAAAAATTAGAGAATATAGGGAAGAGACTCTTTAACTGTCTTGACGGAAAAAATGGGAAGTTTTCTAAACTGTGAGAAGTGGTAAATCTCACTGTGATAAAGGGAAATGTAGCTCTCTCCTGTGGTGTGTGTCTATATCTCACTTTTGTCCTTTCTGTGGAAGAGTTAGAACAACACTGGTCTACAGCGTCCCTGGGAGAGTTTTCAGAGTCCCATGATTTTGCTTTGTGTGATCTTTGATTATGGTAGAGGCAGGCAGCAGAGAAATTCTAGGAAGACAGAGGTGGGTCCCTGGTAAAACCCCACTTTCAAGCCAAAATAGTCTGAAACTCACAGCCCAAAGTGAGAACTTCTATTCCTGTTTGCCCATTCTCTCCTGATTGGTTCTTTGTGAATAGCATCTTTTTTTTTTTTTTTTTTTTTTTTTTTTTTTTTTTTTTTTTTTGGGGCGGGTCAGCTCTGTCCCAGGTTGGAGTGCAGTAGCCCAGCTCACTGCAGAAGCCACCTCCTGGTTCTGTGCCATTCTCCTGCCTCTTCCCAAGTAACTGGGACTACAGGCACCCGCCACATGCACACGGCTAATTTTGTGTTTCAAGCTGGGAACAGGGCTGGCGTGAGCCAGGATGGTCTCGATCTCCTGACCTTGTGATCACCCTGGCCCAGTGTGCTGGGATTACAGGCGTGAGCCACCATGCCCAGCTGAATGGTGGCTTTTACAGTGAATCCCCGCGACTACCTATAGCCCACTCCACCCACATCCATGCCCTACCAAGACCCAGACTCAGTCACTAGATGGGAGGAGTAGCACTGGACCTTAGAATCAGCGAAGACTTCAGAGGAGCAAGCTGAACTTTGAGGAGATGGCCCAGACTGGAAAGATGCAACCTGACTTCAGGAAAGACAACCTGCCGATCCTTCCTCTCAGCTCCTCTCTCCACAGAGCCATTTTCATAACAATACAATTCTCCCCCTTCAGTTGTCTTGACCCTCACATTCTTCCCGCTGGACTCTGGCCTGCAAAGGCCCAGAACTCACGAAGTGCAGATACCCAGAAAGGCCATCACACCAGCCCCTTTTGCCCTCATTGATGAAGGGCAGCCAACCCCATAATGAAAATTGCAGAGCCAGCTGAGCTGCAACAAATCTGTGGACATGGAACTAAGAGCATAACATTCCCTCTGGGGCTTTGAGGTTGCAGGCACCCCCACTAGGCACCATACATGGGCCCCAAGTAGAAGTTTGCTCCTGTCGGTGCCCAGAGTGACAGCCAGATCCCACACTCGCTTGCTCACTCCCCTCCTCAAGGGTTGAGGCGCAGTGGGGCTGAGTAAACAGGAGCACCCCTGTTTGGGAGTCTGGCAAAGAGAAGAGGTTAAAAATCCTGGTTTGCATCATGATGTGGATGAAATTATTACACACCTTGAGGACTTCTTTGTAGTCAGTTATTTGGGCATTTAAAAGAGATAGAAGCTGTGGGATGGCAATGGGAAGCAAAGGGCTAAGGCTTTGAGAAATCTCAGTGAAGATGACCCCCTGAACATATATACAGGTGTTTAATTCATGTTGCTGGAAAAGAAATAGTATCAATATACTTGGGAGTATTAGGCTGATGTCTTATTTAAGAAGCCACCTGTTTTGCAGTGATAAAACATGTTCAAAGCATTGCATGAGAGGAATTATTTTTGGTGTTTCTCTACTGAATTTGAAAATATCAGGAGAATTGAAATTTAGCCAAATTTAGAAAGTTCAAAAATATCGTTCATTGATATCCTATTAACAAAAGAGATGAATGTGCAGGAGAAAACTAAAATATTGAGTATACAGGATGGAAAAGTAAGCTCAAAAGAGGCTTTCTGAAAGGAAATTAAAACCACAAGTTGAAGCGAGAAAGCAAAAATCTCACGCCAAACATGCATAAAACCAAATGCCAAGAGCAGGAGTGCAGTTGTGAGGAAGGGGAGTAATCAGCTCAATATGACAAAATAAACCATTGCTCTTCTGCATTTCCCAAACTGAACATGCCTCCACACATTCCTTTCAAGTGCTAATAATAGACAATAAAATGATAGACCATTTTTGATTAGAGATCAACTGGGATATAAATAAATCATTCCATAGGTACAATGTAGTTTCTTTTTGTACCCAAATATTAAGCCTCTAGCATCCACTGCACCATGCGCTTCTAATTTTAGTGTATTTCCCCAAAGCAATTTTCTGGTGTTTTTTTGGTGCTCTTTTTTGCTTCTGTCCATCCACAGTTCCAAGGCGTCAGGCTGTTCTCTGCTTGGCTTGCTGGTGGAAACCATGTAGTATACCTGAGCCAGAAGTGACTCTAAAGGAACCCAAGTACTTAGAGGTGTTTCTTTTGTTTTGGAATTTGAATGTCTGAGGCTGGAATCCTAGCATGCTTAGCATGGATTAGGTCTGGGTTGTCACTCGGCCATGGGTTTTGCATATCATTATCAAGAGATTTAATTTTTTTATAGGAGCACTTAACTGTAACCAAGATGTTAAAATTATTTACATGATGTAATAAATAAATGCTTCTTTCTTTGTCTCCACTACTTTTAAACTTTATTGTAAAAAAAAGAAGTTTTTCTGCTGCACCACTGGAAGAAAACTTAGCAGATCCTGGGGCATTTGCTTACTTTTAGAATAGTTCAATGGTTGTAAGTTACTCAAACCAGTTTTATTTTTGAAATAGAAGATTCATCTCT